GAACTATGTTCTAGTCTCAGCTCAGCCACTAACCCGCTGGGTGACCTTGGGATGTCACGTGACTGCCCCGTGCCTCAGTTTCCCCATATATAAAATGGTGATAACACCACCAACCTCTTTGTAAGGCACTTTCAGACCTATGGATGAGAGATGCTACACAATGTTAATTATTATTATTATTGCTGTGTGGCTCTCCCTGCCATCTGAGAGATGCCTGAGTCTCCCAACCATGCCACCACATGCCAGCATCCACAGCTCTTAGGGCTGTAGTGCAGTGTCTGAGCAGGGAAGACAGGACAGCCCTGCCTTCTTTAGCCTAATAAGCTGGCTGCTTGTTTCTCCCATTAGGTGCCAAAAGGAGGACACCTGCTGGTCCCTCTGTGGCCGAACTGCTGACAAAGAAACCAAAGACTAAGGGCAGCTGAATCCCTCAAGCACTGCCAGTGGATCTTGCCAACGGGCCAGTCTCTTCTGTGCCACAGGGGGAGAACCCCAGGCGGCACGAGAGCCCATTCCCTGTTCTAATCCCTTGACTGACCGCTAGGAGCCCTGGCCACCTGAGTCCAGGGAAAGCCATGGTGGCACTGCCTCTCTTATTGACTCAGGAAACTTTTGCATGCTGCACCCTTTCATTCAGCCTGTTCAGCGAACTGTCCTTTGGTGCTGGTGCTTTCTATGCTGCTCCCAGGCCAGAAGCTGAGTTTCTCTTTTGGAAAGGCCATGGAGTGGATCAGTTTGTCTGAGTGCCTTAGGGTGAATTCACCCTACACACTTGGGGAGGTAGATGTTTCACCACCCCTGTTTTACACACAAGTGAACTGAGAAACCGAGCTTACTAGGCAGATTTCCAATGGGAGCTGCTGGATCCCTTCAAAATCTGGCCATATCTGACTTGCTCAGATCACTGAAGGAGGCAGAGCTGGGAACTGAACCCACATCGTGCACTACATTCCAGTGCCTTCCACACAAGGTCCCCTTCCCTGGTTACTGCCCAGCGCTTTCTTTATGCGGGTTGTTGCAGACAGTTAGCCACAGGGTACATTTTAAACTTGCCTCTCAACAAAACAATTCGTGCAGCCACCAACTCCTCTGGGCTGGGAAGCGCCCCAGACTGCTGCATTGTGGGCTGGCTCCACAGAAGCCAAAAGCACACCAGGCTTTCAGGGAGCGGAAGAATTTTTTAATTTTTTTTTATTTAAAGGGCATGTTAATAACTTGCTGGTGTGCCGAATGCCCCAGCCAGCCTGGCTGGGAGTTGGTATTGAACTCCCTGTTTAAGCTTTGCTGCCCCCTTTGGCAGACAGCAGCTTGGGAGGCTAAAGTGAGGGATGCTGGATAGGGAGGTTGCCTTTTGCCCATCTTTGTGCTGAGCATGAAATGCTGGGTACTCATTGCCACCGTCCTTGCGACCTGTACGCCCTGTTTTGTGGCGTGTCCAACCCAGGCATAATTTCACTATCCCTTGGCTATGGTCTCCTGGGGTATTAAAGATATCCCTAGAAGCACTATGTGGTAAAGCATGGGGGAAAGCTGATCTTGATGTCCTAAGCCCATCGTGGTGCACGAGGTGCTGAGCAAGAGGAACGTGGAACCAGATGCTGGTGGTGAGACTATTAAACCAGAGAGACACTCTGACTGAGCCACAAGAGGAAGTGGATGGACCAGCCGATATCGGAGAAAGTGGGCTAGGGAGAAATGTTACTGAGGGGCAACCCATCCTAAATTCTCAGTTACTGAGGGACACGCTACACTCATTGCTATATTTGCTTTCCACAAGCTACTCTTAGTATAACCTTTTAGGAGTGAGGTAGCATCCAATATTTGGGTAATATCTAAACTGTACTGTTAAATTTATTTACCTAAATTTGGGATATTACACAGTATGTACTAGATGTATTTTATGACTTTTAAACCAAACTTTGTCCTTGGGGCTAATTTAAGCATTACACCCAGCGGTATAGACACTTTCCTTAACCTGTGTATTCGATAACTAGCATTAGCTTTAATCACATTTTAAATTTGCTCTTTCAATTACAGTGTCTGTAGGTTTTGCTTCTGTTGGGGGGGAGACTCAGGCTGTCGGTCCCCACTCAGTCTTTACTTCTGCTGAGCAATACCACTTAGGCCTTGGCTACACTTACCCGCTAGTTCGGGGGCTGGCAATCGAACTTCTGGGTTCGACTTATCGCGTCTAGTCTGGACGCGATAAGTCGAACCCGGAAGTGCTCGCCGTCGAGTGCGGTACTCCAGCTCGGCGAGAGGAGTACTGCGGAGTCGACGGGGAGCCTGCCTGCCGAGTGTGGACCAAGGTAAGTTCGAACTAAGGTACTTCGAACTTCAGCTATGTTATTCACGTAGCTGAAGTTGCGTACCTTAGTTCGAATTAGGGGGTAGTGTAGACCTGGCCTTAGACCATTTTAGGCAGATAAGGGACTGGTCTTTATGGCAGCTGACCCATGGCTGAAGGCAGCAGCTGTGTTACCTCTTCTGGTTTATTTCCATCTTCTCTGTTCCTTCCCATTAATGCATTAAGTGGTTGATGGGGACACGTTTTAGATTGGAAGCTCTTTGGGGCAGGGATTTTTGTGTGCGGGTGTGGTGCCCAAGGCTACAGCTGGGAGCTCCAGGTGCTATGGTACCGTAGACAATCGCTGGCTTTTAGTGAAGCATTTAAGATTCCTGGAAATCAAGTAAGCAAGCTTATTGCTGTGTAGCCACCTCAGCTGCCAGGACCCACCAGACTAAGTACTTCAATTTCATGACTACTCAAACTGCTCAAAAGATAATGCTAAGGCAGCCAAATGGAGCTGGAGGCAGCCACTTCCCCCCAGCTTGTCTACAGGGGGCTGGGGAGAACAGAAAATTACCCGCAGCAGATGATGGAACCAGATGCTGGTGGTGGGGTGTATTAAACTAGAGAGACTCGCTGACTGAGCCGCAAGAGGAAGTGCTGCGTAGGAAAGAGGAAGTGGATGGACCAGGAGAACGGGCTAGGGAGAGACGTCTCCATGGTTCTGAAGACAGGCCACGTGCTGCAGCAGGAGGACCCCAACCCAAAGCATGTGCTAGAGTGGTGAGGAAAGCGAGGCAGGGAAGGGTGTGGCGTTATTTTTGTATAGATCTATTTCTTGTGCTATTAAAGGAAGAGCAGTGGGTAAGAATCCTCTGTGTAGCACATACCACACATCTACCCCATGCTTCTGAAGATGGAAACTGGGGGCATAGATCACCACCCGCTGGAGTTCTGGAACAGGGTGTGTTTAGAAGGCAGCTCAGGGGGCAGCTCTGATCTGGGGACTGTGGAGTGGGCTACATCGTCACACTGCCCTAAAGCATCCCTCAAAGACTGCAGAGCCTTAAAACAGCTGAATCCCCTCACAGCTATCTGGTAAGCAGCCCAGATGGGATGCAAATGAAAGCCCAGGTCCCCCATACAGCCCAGCTCCACTCTGGGTTCCTTTCTCCCACTGCAGTTTGCCAGTAGCACATGGCAGGGGCTGGCACGCATGCTCAGCCAGGCCCTGCTCCACAGCTCACTGAAACCGATGGGAGTTTTTCCTGTGACGTTGGATGAAATGCAAAGGTCAGTAAATGCAGTGCAGCCCTGAATGGGGTGAGCGTGCCATCCTTAACCACACACACACCCTGCCATCGTCACAGCCCCATGCTGCATAATCACTTTATTTCAGTACAAATCACAAATGAGGATCTGACACAAATCTCTGATGTGCAGTTGGAGCTGCACAGAGGCAGCGCAGGCTTGCAGTGAGGTAGGTGGGGGGCACAGCCCTCCTGGGTCATCTGCCCCCACTTCCCTCCTAGAGGATCGCAGCACTCTTGCGATGGGACAGCAGCTGGGAGCTATTTCCCATTCTAAACTCCTCCTTCTCCTGCCCCACTCACCCACTGTGACCCCCAGGCGATCACACTCCTCTTAGCCCAGCTCCCTGCAGAGCAAGGGTGGGCTCAAAGCTAGGATAGAGTTCTAGATAGCAGCAGCTTGGCCCTGCTGGTTCCCAGCCCAAGGCAGGGGTGACCACTGCCAGCAATGGCCACTTCCCAGGGAACGCCCATCTCAAACGAGACCGGGTTTGGCAGCAGCTCAGCTGTTAGACAGCCCAAGCATCCAGGCCATGCTGTGCCAGTCACGGGAGACCAGCAGTGTGTGTTTCACCCATCTGTGATTTGTCGCCTCTGGAATAGCTTTGATCTTCCTTCTCTGGGCAGTGCAGACCCCCGACTTCAATTCTGTTCCTCTGAAATGGAGTCACTTCAGGAAAGTGAGTGAGGTTTTAGCAACATCAACAGGTTTCTCCTACAGGCATTCTGCGCCCCAAAAAATGAAAAATTCTGTGCCAAAAAGTTAAAAGTTCTGCACACGGTATTTTAAAGTTCTGCAAAATTTGGCAAATTTGATTTGTCAAATAAATGTGGTGGCTCCAGCATGGCATTGGTGAGCACGGGCCACTGGCTGCATAGAGGTGGAAGATCACTGTGCAGCTCCCCCCAGGACACGGACTCAGTGGTGAGGCTGCACCCAACCCTGGCCTGCCCCAGAAACTCCAGGGACCTACCCTTCTGTGCCAGGTGTGGGCAGGCAGGTTCAGCAAGGCAGGATCCAAGTGTGGAAGGGCTTAGGTGGGGGGGGGGGGGGGAGGTCTAGGTGTGGGTTGAGAGGGTTTTGTGTGGGGCACTCTGGGTGTGGGCAGCTCAGTGGAGATCTGGGTGCCAGGGGAGGGAGCGGGTCTGGATGCACAGGAGCTTGTTGGGGGGTTCTGGGTGCAACTGTAACAGGACTCTGTAGGGGGGGTCCAGGTGAAGGTGATTGGGGCTCAGCGGGGGTGGTGGTCTGGGTGTGGGGAGCTCAGTGGGGTGGTCCAGATGCTGGGGGAGTGGGGCTTAGTGGGGTGGAGATCCAGGTGCAGGTTGTGGGTCTCAGTAGGGTGGGGATCAGGGGCGGTTCAGGTGCAGGGGGAGTGGGGCTTGTCAGGGGGGTGAGGCTCGGCCAGAGGGTCTGGGTATGAAGGGGTCTGGATGCACGGGGTTGGGCGGATGGGGGAGCAGCTCCCTGTACAGCAATCCTCCCCCTGAAGCTGAGGAGCGATAGGTGAAGGAAGTGCAGGGGGCGGGGGGACAGTTTGCAGTTTCCTACAGCTGGGGGAGGGTCTGACACAGCGCCCAATGCTGTGCAGGGGAAGAGGAAGTCCCATCCTCCCCAGCCTAGCAGCTGAGCCCAGCGCAGGGTACGAGCCACCAGCCGGGTCTTTCCTAGTCCCACCCGCTGCCCCATAGTGATTTACCTCTCTGCCGGCTGCCCTGGGCACCCAAAACATACTGCTGGGGAGGGTCATTGACTGCTCTTGTGGCTTCCCTGAAAGAAAGTCATTTTTCTGCAGGGAAGCAAAGAAATCTGTGGGAGACACAAATTCTGTGCATGCCCAGTGGTGCAGAATTCCCCCAGGAGTAATCCAATCAGTCTCTGGCTGAGGAACAGCACTATCCTTGTGCCTTGGCCAGTGCTCCATGTACAACACGAAGAATCTGCAATTAGCCATCCAGCTCCTTGGAGGGATTCATGAGTTTTTGCTCCTCTTGGCACCTTACAATCAAGGATCTCAGAACATTTTGGGAATTTAATGCTCTGCGTGTCTAGGCACTGCTATGGCCTGCTCCTGAGGGCATTCAGGGGAGGATTGCTACAGACAATAACAAGACACTGGCTGTAAAAACACATGCTGTGGCAGGTTGTTTGTTTTCCACCTCCTCCAAGACCAGCAGTGCCAATGAACTTCCATGCCTATAGTGCCTTCAGTCCAAAGGGTACTAAAGCATTTTGCAACCCCATTGGGGGGGAAGGGATTAAAATTCTACACACAGGGACCATTTTAAATAATGCTGAAATGCAGCCCCTCTGGGGTGGAACGTGACATCTATATACCAGCATACAACAGTTTGGGATGGGAAGTGAAGACAAGGGACACTGGAAGGGCTATGGAGGCAGGCAGAATGATTAGCCAAATTGGTATTTGACCCGAAAAATGAGGCCTTGAAGAAACAGGAGGGTGGGATTAAGATAAAGCATTCTAAGATCCATGGGTCCATCTGAACAGCCTCTAACACGGATGTTCTTAGTCTCCCAGCTGTTAAGGACTTCACCCTACATGCAGGAGTTGGAAGACAATAGGCTGTGGAACCAATCGGTTAATTCCTGTTCCCAGGATGAGCACAGCCTAGAAAAGAGCTGGTGTCTTTTGGAGCTTGGAGAGGTTAGACACGGGACAGACAGATGTATCACAGGCTCTGATGGAGAGATAGCCTGTTTCTGCTACGGGACCAGGGAGCGAATGGCTGTGAGGGGTGAAGTGGGATATGGGACCTTTCACCTCACATCAGTAGGCTGAATCTGGCCCATATTAGCAGTAGCTGGACACAGCAATTATCTGAGATCTGTATATGGTTTGTGGGATACACAGAAGCTGTCAATTCCTGGGGCGGATGAGCCAGCACCAGAGACCTTGAGAGACATCCGGGACACCAGGCAGGTAGAAAGGGCACATAGATGTGTCTGAGTACAGGCTGCTGCCAGCCCTGTGCTGCAACCTCCATCACCGAGCAGGGGCAGCTAATGGTGTGATTGGGTCAACAGCTGGGAGGGGGGGGGGAGAGAGGGATTCAGGAGTCAAAACCAACAGGCAGTGTTGCCTAGTGAGTAGAGCAGGGGCCTGGATTCTATTCCCAGCTCAGACACCAACAGACGGCATGGCCCATGGCTAGTCACTTCTCTCAGTGCCTCAGTTTCCCCATCAGGATCCTGAACTAACAAGCTGGCAGTCAGGCTGCAGAGCTCCGAGATGCTCATGGGAGCGGACAGAGTGTTACGGATCTGGGGAGGAGAGGAGCTGGGACCCACCTGCTGGGTGGTTAGTTCCAAGCTCTCAGACAATGTTCCTCTCGAGGACCTGCTCCCCAGAGATGAACCTGTTGAAAGACAACTTCTCCAGGTGGATGGTGCTGAACTTGTTGTCCAGAATGAGCTCGGCCACAGCCTTGCCCGCCGCTGGTGACTGCTGCAACCCGTGCCCGCTGAACCCCGTGATGAAGAGCATGTTCTCCACCAGCGGGTGCGGGCCCAGCACGGCGTTCTGGTCAAATGTGTTGTAGTCGTAGTAGCCAGCCCAGGCACTCTTCACCTGCCCAAAGAACACACATTCAGGGTCCTGCAGGCCAGTGGGGCTGACCTATCCACCAGGAAACCCCCCTCACCTGGCAATGACTCCCTGTGTTGACAGCCCCAGCAGGGAGGCCCAGGAATGAACAGACCAACCAAACTCACCTCTCACGCCTGAGGAGTGTCTCATAGGGAGGGCTGCGTGAGGGGGAAGCTTGCGTGAGGACAGAGGCCTCCCATCCCCAGGGATGTCACTTTAAAGCAGCTCCCCACTCTCCTCTCACCTGGCCCATCATCCCCACCAGCCACCCGTCCTGATACCGCCACAGGGATACGAGCTGCTGTAGCTCTGCCAGCTTGGGCGCTCCTGCACTGCCATGCTACCCACCAGATCACATCAGCAAACCTTCCCCTGCCCCAGGGTTCTCCGAGCCAGGACAGGGAGAGGGAGGGAGAGACGTTCACGTCCCCATTCTCTTTTCTCAAGGTGAACAAGCACAGGGACGCGCAGGCCCGTTACCTTCAGGGACTCAAACACTGGCACCCGATGGGCCAGATAGGGCCAGACCTTCTCCTGGAAGAAATTGTGATCGACTTCCAGGTCTTGGATGTCTGGCTCTTCCTCCTGGGGGTGGGACCAGAGTGAGGCTTTGTACCCCAAACAGACAGCGACCCATAGCCCTGGTGCCAGAGCTCAGCAGGGAGCTACCTGTTAGCAGCCTGAGCTGGGAGAGGCTGATCGAGAGCAGGCATTCAGGGGACAGCTCAGACAGTAGCACTGTTTTGCATGGCAGCGTGATGGAGCCGGGCTTTGGTGCTGCAACAGCACAAGTGCTGGCTGTGGGCTCACAGAGCCCAGTCTAGGGGAGCAGGTCACCGTCCGGGGACGCTGGTGGGGGCAGGGCTGGTTCCACTCTGCTCCTGTGAAGCTCCAGGGCTGAGAGCTCCCAAGGAGCCGGGGCGGGGGGGAGGGAGTAATGGTACCCATGTGAGATTGGGATTCTGTAAAGATGGGGTGATGCATCTGCTCCCGACACTGGAGAGATGCTGCCAAGCCCCATGAAAAATTCCCCCACTCTAAAGAGACCGATTACATGTGCTCAAGGGCCGTGTCTGACAGCGTAGGAGCACAGCAGCTCAGTCAGTGGGGGGAGACTCGGATCCGCCAAAAGCCGTTTCCATTACGCCGGCCCCGTCCCGAGTCCTACACTGCAGCCTTTCCCTCCTAGGACAGAGTGCTCCCTGCAGTTCATCAACACTACTCCAATGCAGCCAGAGAGGGCGCTGGTGAGCAATAAAAACACTCCTCCTCCGTTGGTTCCCATTTAACTGAACCCAGGTTGCCTGATGGTGTGAGTTGCCCGCTGTTGTGGGTGAGACGTGGGGGGTTGGGGGAGGGGCACAGTGCATCCCAGCATGTCCTGACTGTGGGTGCAGTCTAAAGTGACCAAATCCAGTTCACCCCCTATCTATAGGGTCATCACTCCCCTTCTTCCCCCCCCCCAATTACGGGGCTATCGCTCCCCCGCTGAGCCTTCCCCACTTCCCCCTTCATGAGATGATCCGCTGGTTACGACTGCCTCGAGACCCCGATTGACTCACCTCTGTTGGGCTGAGGCTTCCCAAGTAGTTGCCTCCAATGCCTTCCCGGCGGAAATAAGCCCCCGTGGTGTCAACCAGCATGGGACACTCCAGGCCGGGCCCATCGGGACAGTGCCACACAAAGATATACCTGGGGGTAGCGGGGGCAGGGATCAGTTGGCTAAGGGACTGAACGCCAACCTCCCCGCCCCTTCCCAGGGTTCAACCTGGGAGCCAGAGCAGACACAGGGAAGAAGTTTCTGGAGGGTGCGAGCAGTTTGGGGCAGGAGCTGCCTTTTTATCAACCTCCTGGACAGCACCGGGCACTATGCCAGCGCTTGCCCAAGCCAGGCAGTCAGAATCCAGCCTCCCAGTCCTTCCCAATTTCCAAGGCTCCTGCTCTTCCACCTTCCCAGAGCGACAGAACCGAGTGCAGGGTATTTCTCGCTGACCTACATTCCCTAGCACAGCGCATCGCCCTGCGGGAAGGCACCTCGTTACACAGGTTAACCTAGTCACTGTAGTGCTGAAGCTTCACTTGGCCCAACCAGCTACGCTCTTCCCCAGCCCACTCCCTTCCAGGAGACATGGAAGCCCCCGGAAAAGGAATCAAACCTGAACGTGCAAATCAATGCCCATGCCTCACAGAGCCCAACCTCCCAGGGCTTCAGCCTGAAGAGCCCCCTCCAGATCCTGTGTCACCTCTCCCGCTCTGTGGTAGTTCTACCATTGGCCCACGCCATGTTATTTAACCCGCACCTTTTCCTGGGCTCCACTGGTAGCTTGATCCCTTCTTGGGTGTTGGGTGGTCCGATCCCAATGCCGGCCATCTCGGCCAGCTTCTGTGACCAGGGACCAGCTGCATTGACCACCAGGGAGCACTCCACTGGCTGGTACTCCAAACTGTTGGGCATTTGGACCTGGAAGGCACAAGAGGGAGAGCAGTGAGCTTAATAGACCCCAAAGAGCCCTGGGTGCCAGATGCCCCATGAAGGCTTTCCAGGCAGCCTGCAGGCAGAGCAACAGGGCTACACTAGAGGGGGTGTCATGGAATAAAGAGGGGAACTGCCCCCCTGAATTACCCTGCACTGGAAACAGATGTTGGGGAGCCACCGCTTCATGGGGCAGAGCAAGAGAAGGGGGAGGGCAGGAGTGGCTGTGCATAGGGTGCTAGAGAGCAGGAAGCGGTGAGGAGAGAAAGATCGTCTTGTGGTTATAGCATGAGGCTGGGCAGCAAGAGAACCCAGTTCTCATCCTGGCTCCGCCACTGACTCAGAATGTGGTCTTGGGTGAGTCCCATCATCACTCTGTGCCTCACTTTCCCCATCTGTTAAAGTGAGATAATATTAGTGATTTACCTCATGGGGGGGAGAGTGGAGAGAAAATGAAGCAAAGAGGGAGCATCACACAATGAGTCCATGGCAGAGGTGGGAGTAGAACCTGGAGTCTCACCTCCTGTGGGGGGACACTGCCTAGGTTCTTGGACTAGGAGGTATCGCTGTGTTGATACCCTGGCTCCCACGGACACATGGCCCCACACAAAGGAGGAGAAAGCTTTTCAGTTATGGGGTGCGTTCGGATTTCAAGCCCAGAAGGACCAGCTATTATCCAGTCTGACCTCCAGTGTAGCACAGGCCAGGAGATTCCGCCCAGTGACTTCTGCACCGGGCCCCAAGTGACTTGCAGCTGAGCTACAGTGGAGCTTTTTGGAAGACAGCCAGTCTCAATCTGAAAAACTCCAAGTAATGGTGAACCCACCACGTCCCTCAAGGAGCTGTTCTAATGGCCAATTACCCTCACTGTTAAAATATCCCCTGGTCAGGGTTACCTGTATGACCCCAACTCAGCCCCCTAGTGCGTATGTCTTAGGAGATCATTACATGAACTGATATTTTTCTTCCACACAGGTGATCAGCAGGGTCAAGCCCAGGACCCAGCACAGATCTCTCCTGTCTGAGCTACGACACTACCAGTGGGACCAGACCGTTGGGGGATTACTTACGCGGACATAATTAATGCGGGAGAAGGTCAGCTCCCCCTCAGGCGTCATTATTTCTCGGGAAGAGATGGTAAAGGCTGGGAAAGAGAAACAGAAAAAACATGCAGCGAACAGCAATTTGCTCACTCCCTTCAAATACCTCTGAGGATCTGGGCCTCTCTGCAGGAGGCACAACTGGGTAGTCTGCACAGCTTGTAAGTAATACACAAAGACTAGCTCTCCGCAGTGCAGAATTACCCATCACTGCTAGAGAATAGCCTACAGTCCCTTCGCTAGCACACAATTCCAATAAGCCATTCAAACTAAAACCTCTGACAGCTGTTCATTTGTTTTCAGTACATTTAACGATCCCTGCTCTGTCATAGTGTTCGCTCACTGATCCGTAACGTACAGGGATCGGTAACGGGCAGGCACACGGCTCACGAGTGAGTCACAGGAAAAAGGGGAGGGGGGAAATCACTAGTCAGATTACTGAGAAATTTAACTTGTGCTAAACCACCCAAGACCAAGGATACATCAGAGATATTGTATGCTAGATGCTGTGTGGAGTAAATATACTTAGCTCTCATACAGTGCTGGTCAGCCATAGATCTCAAAACGCTTTACAGAGATAGGTAACTGTCCTTAGCTTCATGTTACAGATGGAGAAATAAAGACAGAGAGATTAAGTGACTTGCCCAAAGTCACTTACTGATATTGTGGCAGAGCTAGGAATAGACCTTATGTCCCCTGACTCCCAGCTCTGTCCTTATTCCATCAATCCCCATCTGCTCATTTACCCATTCCACAGTACTTCAGATAGACAGCCATGGAATTTAACCTCGAATTGCAGACATCAGACATGGACTGTCCCGTGTGGTACCATTTAGGTGAGTCTCTGAGAACAGGCCTGCATTGTTCCTTACAGGAGATACTCTCCAATGCTTCATCTACTATCATTTGAAAAGAGCAGATGAGGAAAGTGACTAGAAAAAGTTTGGTAGGTTTGTCTGTTTATTTTTTAATTAAATGTTTGGCAGGGAAAAAGCTTTGGTTCCAAGCCCTGAGCTCAGAGCTCTGTTTCTCCTGCTACAGCTGATGGAATCCCTGGTTTCCAAAGCAGGGCACAGAGTTACATTCCACGCACTGCTTTAGAGTCTGTGACCGCCCCACTAAACGGTGGCAGGGGAAACAGAATCCTGGACTCCAATCCGGGCCAACAAATGATATTAATTTTCAATTGTTTCTAAAAGACATTTCCAGAACCGACACCTACACATTTATGTTTCCGATTCACAAGGTCTTAAGTGGTTTCGGCAGCTCTTTATTTCATTTTATCAGCTGTATTCATTTTCCCATCTTACTTTAAAGATAGCAGTACAACAACAGCTGAGCAACCCCTAAGTCCCTGCTAGATCAGTACCAAATCCCTAATGCTACTACTTGCAATCCTCCATGCTCCTTTGAGGGCTCCCTTCCAAGTAATACCCAGATCCAATGCTGCTTAGCTTAGAGGATCTCAGCACATGGTACTGCGACAACCCTACAGGGGGAGTCAATACTACTTCAGCCTCAAACAGTGAGAGGGGCTCACTTACACATCACTTCTCCGAAGCACTGACTGACGCCCATGGACATTGCTTTTCTCCTGAAGGCATTGAGGAGGGACCAAGGATCAAACCAACCCTCATTTTCTAGGCCTAAAGAAAGAAGAAACGGACACATGGAAGAGCAGGCATGAACGAAGCAACGATTCAACCTCCCTAAATGTAGGATGCCTGCAAAGTACAGCCCCAATCCTACTGATACTTGTGCTCCCGCTTAACGCTATGCATGAAAGGTTCCACTGACGTCAACAGAATTAGTCACAAGCACAAAGGTAAGTGTGTGCATAAATACCTGTGCGTTTAGCAGATGCACTATGCAGACAGGTATGTATTATCCCTATTTTATAGAGGAGGTGAGGTAGCTAGGCCAACTAGGGTTTGTTGCTGCTTAAGGTATCAATTTTTTTCTTTAATATACAGGTATCATTCAGCAACAGACAAGTATTTAATGTACAGTTACATAAAAGTTACACCAGTTCCCAGCAACGAGCACTTTAATGAAGGGTGAATTCCAACTTCCATTCTACCTCCATTTTTGTTTTTCAGTCTTGTCAAACAAATTCTCATTGGTCTGAATGGTTCCATTTTTGATCTCATCCAAAAGATGAATTTGTTTGGAGTGTTTGAATGAGATCAGTCCTGTTATTTCCAAGTCAAGCAGCCAGGAAGATAAAACACCTTCCCCACACATTCCAACTGAGGATTTTATGCTCAGATAACTCAAGTGGGTGAAGCTAGAAATTTTAAACTTGGCTTGATTTATAGACCTCAATGGGGAAGGGAAAACAATTCAAATTTGAAGGAAGTCAGTATGATAATTTTAGAGACGTGAACATGTAACGTCAGCATCTCTACGCAAATGCATTTGAATTCTATTTCCCCTCCCCAGTCTGATGCTGTGATGACTTCAGTTAAGTGTGTTCTCCGCAGATAGGTCAGAAAAGGTATTGCTGAGTTTCTCCCCTCTATTTCCCCGAGGAAAAAACAGGGAAATTAAATACAAAAACCTAATATTAATGTACAATTGAGAAATCAAGCACCCAAAAATTACATTTACATGGCCATATTGTGCATACATTCTTAATGGTATTCCCGTCTGCCTTGTTAAATGAAAGCCCTGTTGCATTGTTGGTTTTATTATTAGAGGTGTGCCATGAAACAGACAAGACATGTAACAAGCTGGGTTAAATATTTATCAGAAACCTTAATTTTTGGCACTTTCTTCCTTTGGACTTTGATTTTTCAGCCCTAACATGGCATTTAAGTGTGGTTTTGCACTTAATATCTAAAAGCAGGATTGGCCTTTGTAATGAAAGCTGGTCTTTTCAGTTCCTTCTGTAGTTTCAGAGACATCCATTACATTTTCTTTTTCATTTTACTTCTCTAATGTTTAGAGAGACTGAAGTGCAAAAGGAGTTACATTTCCCCATGGGGTGGGCAGGGGTCTAGCATTTAGATACCATAGGATGCCACAGCTACACCATCGGTATTTATCCAGGGATACTTCTTCTTCAGTTGTGCTGGTGACAGAAGGGAGACCTCAGCTCCTTCATTCCTGAAAAGCCATTAAATATACATCAGAACATGCTGGTTTTAGTCCTGATACACCTATTGTTAGGAAACACGTGGGAGAAGATCTGGAGAGAATGGAGCATAAGCACTAGGGAAAAAAAAAAGAAACCCAGGATGTTTTCTGTGACTTGAAAGTTTCCTCAGCCTGCCCCACCTAGCAGTTCTGCTTCTCTCTCTCCAGATCTCCTCTTCATGTTAATGGTACAAGGCTCCTCATCCCTAAAGCCCTTTCGTGTGCTAGGTCTTAGCTGGCTCAAGCCCATCTCTCTTCCTGCTCCTCTTCAGCTGGAGACCCCAGCCCCTGTGACCTTCACACTGGGGCATTCTCAGTAGAAGGCCCCTGGCTACAGAAATCGCTATCCATAGACTCAGTCTTTAAGGACAGAAGGGACCATCGTAATCATCTAGTCTGACCTCCTACACATTGCAGGCCACAGAACCTCATCCACCCACTCCTGTAATAGACCCCTCACCTCTGGCTGAGTTACTGAAGTCCTCAAATAATGGCTTAAAGACTCCCAGTTACAGAGAATCCACCATTTACACTAGTTTAAACCAGCAAATGACCCGTGCCCCATGCTGCAAAGGAAGGAGAAATACTCCCTGGGTCTCTGTCAATTTGACTCAGGGGGAAATTCCTTCCTGACCCCAAATATAGCGATCAGTCAGACCCTGAGCATGTGGGCAAGACTCACCTGCCAGACACCTGGGGAAGAATTTGCTGCAGTAACTTAGAGGCCCCCTCTTCCCACAGTCTAGTGTCCCATCACCAGCCATTGGAGATATTTGCCGCTAGCAGTCGCAGATCGGCTACATGCCACTGTAGGCAGTCTCATCGTACCACCCCCTCCATAAACGTATCAGGCTCAGTCTTGAAACAAGTTAGGTTTTCTGCCCTCACTGCTCCCCCTTGGTTACCACTGGAAATGGCCAAATCCAGCTACCTTCAAAGGGCCAGGCAAGACCCACCTGTTCACACAGGACTTGTGACCATCTCGGTTCATTGCCAGGGAGCGTATGCCAGTGGGACCTTGTGCGACCCAGGGCTGCTCAGTGCCAAGGGTCCAGCACCTCTAGTCAAATCTCACTCTGCGGGAGGGCTGGTGGGGAGAGGGGGCAGGAGGGGAGCTCAGGTGGAGCAAGGGGCTAATGCACAAGCCCCTCCCATCTAAAGATCTGGGCTCTAGCGGCTTTGGTCACATGGGAAAAGGAATAATTTAGTGGCCTCTCATCCTGGCCTTTACGGAAGCACCACGGGTTTTCCACCATCTCAGGAAAGGCTCAAGAATGAGGTTAGCAGGGAGGGGTGGGCAGGCCAGGGTTGGGGTGCAGTAGCAAAGCTGGGTGAGGGGGGGCAGAGGTCTCACAGAACATGGGAAAACCCCAAACTAGAACAGCAAGGGACAGAGTGATGGCAGCTGCCCCTGCATGCAGATGCTGGAGGCTTCACCTCTGCAGAGCTGAAGGGAGTTCAATACTTCTGAACTGGTGTGGCAATAAAGGCAGTAGCCCTAGCCGTCCTCTGCCCCAGGAGCCCAAGCCTGGCTCTGCTCCAAGGGTAACTGCGTGGGCCGTTTGCTACAAGGTCGGCTGGCCAATATCAGCAGCTACATCCACGGCCTCGCTTCCCAGCTCCCACTGTTTCACCCGCCGAGGGGCTGTACCTCTGAATGCGCACGTTCTCCTCCAAGTCCGCAGCTCCGTCTTCCGAGGCCAGGAAGAGGTACCCCGAGTGGTTAAACTGAATATCTATGGGCGGCTCGTTCACAACCCCCAAATGCTCCTGGGGACAGAGAGCACCTGTCAACACTCTGGTCACTGATCTGATTCAGGCAGACGCAGAGGGAGAAAGACCTGGGACCCCATTCAAGAGACCATCACTGCATTATCTCCCCATAAAATGGAGGAGCTGCTCTGGTTTGGCAACCCCCTCAGAGTGACCTGTCCTCCTCTGCTAGAGACCTCCCTTGGAGCCCCTCAGTGCGGCTTTTCGCTCTGCCAGAGGGGTCGCTGACAAGCTGCATAGGCCCCCTCAGTCTCCCTAGCGACTGACAGCATCACCCACGCACATTTCCCAGCACTTGTCAGCTTGGGAGCGAAGATGAGACTCGAACCCAGGTCCTTTGCGTGGCCATGCAGAGTGTGGCCTGGGTACTGTTTGTTCAGTGCTTCAGCATGCAAAGAACAACAGAAAGCCAGAGGTATTACTAAGCATAGGCCACTGACTGATCACTCTCTTCCAGAAGAGACACAGGGTCAAATAGCAATCTGAAACACTGGTGTAAATCCAGAGCAACTCCAGATTTACACCAGCAAGCTGCAGACTCAGGTCCACAAGCAGGTCCAATCAATGCAGCGATGAATACATTGTCACACACACAGTTAATTAAGTGAACCATACTACGCTCCACCTGCAGCCATGGCGACAAGGGGGTTCAGCATGCCTGTAGCTCCCCTAAGCCTCCTGACTCCAAACTCTCTCTAGCACGGAGCTTGCAGGCGTTGAGGCCTCTGGAGAGTCAAGGCCCTAGCGCCTCCCTTCCATCCTTGGCCAGTGTGACGTACGTTGATGGTGCGCAGGAAGAACGCTGAGTAGAGGGACATCTGGATGTTTTCTGGCAAGGAGAACTGCTGCCGAATCCCTCCCGCAGAGAGCACCGTGGAGGCTTGCGAGTACTGTAGGGAAGCCAAAGGGGCAGGGGAAGGATGGTCAGGATGGCAGAGTTACCAGAACAGAAATGAGGCAGCAAGTTTTCAGTTCTTCCCTTTCACAAGCTCTAGTGAAAGGCCCAGGCCCGACAGCCCTGGAGACTGAACTCACCTATTCACGGGGAGCAGAGCCAGGAAAAGTAGCCGTGGCGCAAGAATCCCCTGATGTTGCCCTACCAAGGAACCCTGGGAACTCCCTCTAGTGGGCAGAGGGGAGATCGGTTTCCATGGACCGTTCACTCCTGTGTTGATCTCCTAAGACTATCAAGAGGGTGATGTGGGCACTTGCCCTATGGGAACCGGAGAGGCCACCAAACAGCTTGCAGAATGCAACAACTTTTGGTCCCTTCCATCCTGGGCTGGAGTCCAACCACTGACCTTGAGTCCGCATCTCGCATTAGCAAGCCCTGTTCCCACATGCTGTCCCTAGCGGGGGGTTAGCCTACAGGCTAGGGAGACCCTAAAAGAGCAGGAATGCAGTTACCCCGTCATGGGTGGCCAAAGCCCGCAGCAGTCCCATCCCAACCCATCAATGGGTAAAGAAATACGATGGGGAGGAACAAGGACGAACTCACAGATGCAAAGACAAATCAGAAGATAACAGGACTGAAAAGGACCTCCTGGGTCATCACAGGCAGCCCCATACAATCTCATTCTTAAATTTATCAAGCTCCAATGCAGAGAGAGCAGAGACCAACTGACCCACTGGTGTGTCCTGGCTCTGCCTAAGCAACGTCTTGAACATACAGGTGCTAATCTATTTTAACACCATGGAACATGATCAAAATAAACGGGCTGGAACACTGTAACCCCCTGCATGCTGGTCTTAGAGTCACTACTGGATCACCCAGCCCAACCCTGCTCTCTGCAGGGTCAGCCACTACGTCCTTCCCCACCGACCCCTTCCCTAATCAGTCTCTGCAGCCTCCAGCCCTCGCAGGGGGAGTCCACTCCACTGTCCTGGCTGCTAAGAACCTCTCTCTCCCCACAATGCTCAGCCTAAGTTTTTCCTTCCTTCACCTTGGGCCATTGCTCCTTGACTCCCCGCATTAGTACCGTTACTCTGCTGCTCTGATTCTCCTCCCACACTGAGCTGGCTTGTACTTATTGGGTTC